GGAAGCATACAAGCACACATGAGGCAATGCAAATGGATGAAAAGATGGACTTAAACATGATTCGGGCAGCTCTAAATAGGCCCAAAACAGCGGCCAAAGTGACCAAAATAAAGGACCAAAACACATGCACACATGCACATATTAAAGGGCCAAAACTCAGGCACAAATGAGGCAACTCTCAAACACAATTGAAAGAGGCATAATGTGGACTAATGGCATGCAAAGTAAGCATTGAAAATCATGTTAAGATGGTGTCAAACCAAGCAACAAGATAGGCTAAACATTAGCATGCAAATGGTCCAAGTACTTGAAGCAAGTCGAAAGGGCTTTAACCATGACCAAGCCAACCAAGCCTCACAAGGCTAAGGAGACTTAAAATAGGTTCAAGGCAGACCTAGATTATGCAAAGGGGACCCCCTAGATGGCATCTAAGTGGCTCAAATTCAAAGCATGCACAATGGCCAAAACATGGAACATGCTACACAAGCTTCCAAAGCATTAAAGAGGCATTCAAGGTAAACATATAGGCATGCAAATGGGACTGAAATGACATGGTGGATGGTTCCAAATCACCAAATCAATGCAAAAATGTCATGTTATACATTCGCATACTTAAGGCCAACAAGCCGGAATGCAAAGGAGCTATACTAAGCATGCCAAATCCGACCCAAGCAACTATGGACAGACCTAAGACATGGCAAAATATGCACAAAATCTTCACAAGACTAAGCCTAAAACGTGCTCCAACAAGGGCTAACAACCTAAGGCACATTGAGGCAATAACATGGCATTACATGGTAGGTATGCTAAGCATGCATGGTGTACCAAAACCAACAAAAAACAGAGGCATATTATGACATAATAAGCACAAAAAATAGCCAAGGCATGGTCAACAAGAAGTTTAGCTAGGTGCTCCCTCAAGAGGCCAAAAATGGTCCATTTCAAGGACAACAAGGAGGGGGGTAGCCCTCTCCTTCTTGGGATCTCAAGGCACCATCCTCACCTCTGAAATCCCTCAAGATTTCAGTGGTGAGGAGGCCCAAACACCAAGGTCTCGGAACTTACACAAAATAGCACAAAATGGGGCCTTACAAGGCTTAGGAGGGGTCAAACAACCTCAAACCACAAAACACTCTAAACAAACTATTTGGAGAGCCTAAAAATAGAACTTTTTTGTATTATACACTAAGCTCAAAAACAGTTCTAAGATAGGCAAAAATAGGATGCAAAAATGGGGTAAAAATGGACTAGTTTCTTACCCTTGAAGACCCCTTTCACAAATGGAGCTCCAGCAGCTCCTTAAGCTCCAAACCAGCTCCAAAACTTTGAAAAGAATCCCTTAGAACCTCAATAGTCAAGAGAAGGTGTTTGTGTGCAATACTAAGAACAAATGCACCTAGAACACTCAAAAGGGAAAAAGAGGTAGAATAGCTACAACTATACTAACCCTAGAACCAGAGCTCTCCTCTGTATTTTTTGTCTCTAAAATGTCTAACCCTAAAGCCAAGAGGGGAGGGCTCCTCTTATAGAGGAGCTAATCTTGTAAAGCTTACAAGGTAAGCTAACAAGAAGTCCATCCCTCCATACACGTGTATGGAGGGGAACAAAATGCCATACAGCTGTATTAAAATATCTGCAAAAGCAGATGAACAGTAGTCGGCTGCTCAAAATTGCCATTTTGTCAAAATGGAGTGCCGACCGGCAACAAAGAATGCCGACCGGCGATATACATTGCCGATGGCATCAAAACACCAGCCGGTGACCTGTGGCCATGGCCGGTGATGTGTGGGGATGCCTCACAAGGCATTCCCTACCCCTCCAAGGCAAAACACAAGTGTTTGGTATAAAACCAGACACTAAACAGTCGAGTTCGGAGATCCCGAGGCAAGGCGCGTAGCCGAGACCTCCGGGAACTCCAAACAAACACAAACATGGATGATCACCGGGTGTTCAAACGGTGACGTCCAAGTCTTGAGGACGGTCAAAAATGGGTTGTCTACAGTTGCCCCTCTTTGACAGAACTCGAAAGTCATAACAATGACGGGAGTGAATGTCAAAGCCCAGAGACGACCCATTTTTGACAAGGCCGAAGACTTAGACAAACATGCAAGACAAACAAGGTATGTTTCCCGAAGGCAGCGGCAAAATGCAAGACAATGCATAGAGCCAGACATAACTTATGATCATGCAAAGAAAGCTGTAACGAAGCACATATGCAACAGTTTTAAGCTGGCATACACCAAACTACACTACAATGCAGAAAGGATGTAAGAGAATTATGCAATTCTCGATACGTCTCACTCGGAGGATACAATACCTGTGTGGCTCGTCCGGTTGCACCAGCCTCAAATGAACCGTACATACAATATCGTGCCTGTAAAGAAAACAACTCAACAGGTACGATGTTGTTAGAAACATGCATGACAATGCAAAAATGGATGCAAAATGATATGCAATATATACAAAACAATGTACAAACAATGGAAATAAAGATGCAATGTAATTGAAACAATGCAAACTATATGCAAAGCAATTGAATCATGATCCAATCGTGAGCGGTTCGAAACCACGCCTATGTCAAATAGATTGATGGAGGTAACAAGTCCGTCAACCATAGAACGGTCTACTGGACTATGAGTAATGTAGACGGACACAAGAACAAGTATTGGGGGGGATTGACACAAGTGGGGAAACGACCCGCTAGGGAAAGGACTACGATCCTAATGCTGGATGCAACAATTACACTATAATGTAACATATAATGAAAATGCTGGGGAAATGGCAATGGATATGGCACGCGGGCCAAACCAAATCTTGCCTAGGCAAGGCATGTACGCATACGAGCCATGTCTAACACAGAAAAGGTGCCGCAACCCTCAAACCAACATACCAGCGTGGAATAGACGCGTACACATGCAGAACTGTGCTTTAACGTGAAAAGTAAGGGCACATACCAGACCAAGCTCAACCTATAAAGGCGCAAGCCATAGATGGAAGGTGATGCAATAAATGCATGCAAACTACAATGCAATATCTACAAATATGCAATGGAATGGATATTTACAAACATGCTTGACAATGCAGT